AAGGAGATTACATCGCACCTGATTATCATCGGCTCTGCTTGTTACGGTCGTGGGGGTCACAGGGACTGAAGCGGCCAGACCAGACCCCATCCGGCTCGCTCATGGTGCCGTCACTGTTCTTTAATTTGCACATTGTCTGTAGATCACCCTTTTTTTGGCATTGCAGTCTCACGCTAATTTGCCCTGTTTAGTAAATCTGGCCCTTAGTCTGTTTAACTGGTAAACATGATTTAGTATACTTGCTGATTGACAGATAGACAGTTTTATTTCACAGGTGAGGTTTTTTGTTCTTACCGGTGTTTTGTCCATTGGTGGGACCTCAAGTCTTTTCATCGCTCTCAATTTGTCACCCCCTTCCAGCTGAATCATGAACGTCTGTAGAATCACATTCAGTGTTTTATCCAGGAGCTGGATGTCTTGTGATGAATAAAGTGAACTAAAGGAACGGTTGCAGTGCTACATACTCGCCTCCAGTTTAGACATGAGATGTTCACATTTGCCTCTGTCTGTGTTGAGCAGAGATGTGTCAAGCCTTTCATTTCTCCATTTTAGGCCATGTTCACAACCAAACTTTGAATCATACATTGTGGTGATCTTGCAGAAACACTTGTAGTTAAATTCCTAGAAAAAGCACAATTGCACAATTGGCCACATTTTATGCCATTTTAGTTTTTAAAGAAAAGATTGTACGTGGTAACTGTAATATGTTAATTGACGAATTGACGACGAGCCGTTGAATTATTAGAAAAATAATGCACACCCGAGGTGGTGCGTCGTGGTTGTTTCACCTCGGGTGTGCATTATTTTTCTAATAATTCAAGGGCCCGGAGTCAATTATTCCGCTTATATTGTGACCACCCCTCAAGAAGACATCGATCAGATGATATATTTAAAGGGATTCTTCCAGTTTTTGTACTTAAATCGCTATTGTGAGTAGGATTATTTCTTCCGCATCTCATCCAAAGCCTCTTTTGCTAGTTCCAAAACATCATTTTAAAGCTGGTAATGGAGGCTTGAGCCGTTGATAGCATTCTAATGCAGTTATTAATGAGTTATTAGAAAGAGAGCGAGAGAGACAGAGACACACAGAGAAAGAGAGAAAGAGCTTGTGTGAATTAGAATTACTTCTGTGTGTCCCTCAATAGTGTTCTGCAGCAGCGTCTCTAAACAGCGCTGTTATTACCTCGCTAGTGAGAAATGTCATGTGTATGCTACACTATATCTGAAGGTTAACGGATAAAATCATCAGAGCAGCGCTGACAACACTTTTTGTACTAACTGCGTGACTGTAGTGTGCGAGCACGTGTGATTGCAGTAATTCCTGTGTGCTGTATAGGTACTGTGTGCTAATTTCCATTATTACAGTTAACTATGTGAAGTGAGATGGAACTCTAATGTGGTCAAGAGAGCTGCCTTGAACTACGTTCGCTTCCCTGAAAATAATTGTACACTTCAGAATGTTCAACAGCCAATCAGATTCAAGCATTCAACTGCCCCGTAGTATCCACCTTTTTCTTGTCGTAAAAATGGGCGCGGCCATTTGTAAATTCTATGGGTCTGGCTTCCGGTCTCATCTGCGTCCACTCCTTCCAGCTATTTTTAGCTGAACAAAACAGTTCATTTTGCTGCTTGATATTGAAAGTTGGTGTGTCTTATCATATTATTTTAATATATTATATTAATTATGAACACACTGGTTTGTATTGCAAACAGTTTTACCATTTACTGCACGTTGTTATTCTCCTCGTTATTTACCTATATCGGCTAATGAACCGGAAGTCTCACCCATAGGCTTATTTCCGCGTTGAAGAAAAAGGTGGATAAGGTCAATTTAATTTGAAATTGTATATATATATATATATACAGCCACCACCATATATTTTTTGGTTTTATGAAGGATCATGTGACACTGCAGACTGGAGTAATGATTGCTGTAGTAATTCAGCTTTGCTAGTACAAATATATATTAAAACCCAAAAGTTATTAGTTTTAAAGAGCACCTGGTATTTTTGCAGAAAGGCCAAGCTCAGGTATAGTTCACCAACTGCAATTTTGATTTGTTTTAGATTGGTTCTTCTTCTTTTGGTAGGTGGGACAACACTGATGCCACAATTATCTCCTTGAACTTTGGATCCAGAAACTTCCTGAGCTACGATCCCAAGTGTTACCAGTCTGTAGTGAACTTCTGATAGCTTCTCTATAAAATAGAAATAGGTCATACTGAATATGTATCCACATGTATTGTTAATGATCCGCACACAGTACTTTAGAGTTGTCTACCTGAAAAGAAGAGGTTCACCTTGTTCAGCTCTTCCTCACAGCTTTTGAAGAACTCTTTTGTCAAAGACCTTTGACTGTTTCCTATAAAGTGTTTCATTATTACTGATGGATGAATGAAAATGTAGTCATAATGTTATTCACTTACTCCCTTCATACAGCCATTCACATCTCAATCCTTTCCCTTATTAAGCATTCAGCTTTGCAAAGTTATTAATGATTCATTTGACCTGCTTCACCTTTGATATTGTGAGGATACCTGCCATAGAAAGTCAAAATCTATCATGCATTTAATTACAAAGGGAATAATTTATGAGATTATACTGCTGTATGTGACAGTCATAAATATGTCCTGGCAGCATTTTTTTTTTTTTTTACTCATTTTAACAGTGTGACAATCTTGCAAATATGCAAATGACTATGATACATTATTTTAATAGTGGAATATTCTCACATAACTAGACTTCAGCAGTGAAAATTACCCAACATGTTGATGCTCTTACCATAACAAATGAGGTTAAGCCTGTCTTCCTTGTTCAACAGAGATGTCAGGGTCTGAAAGTTACAAATACAACTATTAGAGTCTATAAAAGCCTGAAAGTTTAAAACATAAAGATTGTATCACGGAACAAGAACCCAAACTCACCTCATAGCTCATATATTGTTTTTTCCATTCAGGAAACATTTGTAAAGCTGGGTGGTCAGAAGATGTCATTTGGACTACCTGCTCACCAGTACTGAGCGATCTCCAGTGTTTTCTCCAGGTGTGTTTGCGTGTGTGTGTTTGTGGGCCTCATAACAATAGAAAGTATGAGACATGGAGGGAGGGGCAGTCACAGTGCAAGAGCACAAAGAATCATTAAACTCGTGTATAATTCAGTGGGTCATCTAAGCATTTAAACACATTTCTCATACAGTTCTATATCACAAGCTTTCTTGTTTGAAGCATCTTCTCTCTTCAGCAGTTAAACAAAACATTTAAGAAACATACATATGTCATTTATTGATTGATTGATTTATTGCTGTATATATTTAATATAATGCAAAAACAGCAATCAAAAATCCACAAAAAAATCCTAATCCAAACAGATGTTTAGTGAGCACTGGGGTCCAAAAAGAAAAAAAAAATCTAGGATCAAATTTAAACCTGGAAATAAACAAGTTTTAGGATTAAAATAAATAAATAAATAATTAACAAAAAAAACTCTTTGATTGTCAGTAAATTTTGAACCTTGGAATTTACACATATTTACCAAATTCTTGCAACTCCAGTGCTGCTGTTTTTAAAGCAAAACATGCTTGTATCATAATTTGTAATTCATTGTAATTCAATTATTAAAAATAATTTTCACCAGTGGTTTTAGACTTTTGGACACAGCTGAAAGTCCCACTGCTATCTATAATTATCAGAAAATGTACTGTTAATTTAAAAAGCAGCAAGTTAATTTGGATATTTACATCAAAATGAACACTTGATTACTTACAGGTATATATACACAAATGCACTGTGTCTGTTGTTGTTCCTGTAAGAACTTATTTATGCCTATAAGTCTTCGGGGAACGTCTTGTTGGAAGTTGAAATTAAATTAAAAATCACCCTACCCTTTGCTAAATTAAACAGTCAGATTTTCTAGTCACTGATTCATTTACAGTAACAATGTGACAAATAAGGATGCCCACAGCGTCTCTGCAGATACAAGACTTTTGAGATTTAAATGAATTCATAAGAGTACAAAATAGGACAACTTGGAGTATTTTAGAATCAGGTCGTATGGTCCCTGTTGAGAGGACGCTCTCAAACAAAGAACAAAGTTTGTGTGATTCTGATACAATTATTGGTCATAGTTATCAAATAAATCAGGCCTATGAAGTTCAAATGCTGTTGTAAAGCAAATTCTACTTGTAGGATCATTTTAGATCTTATTTAAACTGACAAAGTCAGTATAGCTGTCTGCTTTTTAGTGAAGTTGTGATAACAAAACTAAAAAAAACACAGTAAAGTATATTGTTACACACTGATTTTATTGTAGAGTTTCCACCGTATCCCCCACCTTAAGGTTTTCCAAGTCTAAAAACAAGATGAAGTACCTGAAACTCAGCTTTTTTTTGCACCTGAAAAGCTGCCTCTTAAAACATGAGAAGACAACTAAATTATTCACAGTTCTAGTTCACAGAACATCCTGTAAGATGCCACGGACACAAGTGATGTTTGTAAATGTGTTTCCTGTAATTGCACAAAATAAAAGGCAACATTTGTTTGTAAAACATTGGCCACACCAGACTAAAAATAAATATACCTCCATTATACATTTAATGATCCACTCGTACTGTGTGAACAAACAATTTCTGTTTTGTTTACAGTAGGTTTCATAAGGCCACATTTCAGTCCATAGCCAAGTGTGCAAAGGCCACACACAGTTTTGTCTTACAAATTACAAATATTAAAAATATTTTAAAACAAAACCGTACACAATATGATAAATGTGTGCCCTTAAAGGGACAGTCCACCCAAAAATAAAAATGTTGTCATCATTTGTTTCCTCATGTTGTTCCAAACCTCTATGCATCGTCTTTCTTCTGTGGAATGTAAAAGAAGATATTTTGAAGCATGTTGGTAACTAAATGGTTTCATGGATAAAAAATACTATGGAAGTCAATGGGACTCGAAATTGCATGGTTGCCAACATTTTTCAGAATATCTTATTTTGTATCCACAGAAGAAAAGTCATACAGGTTTGGAATGACTTGAGGTTGAGGAAATGATGAGAGCATTTTCACTTTTAGGTGGACTATCCTTTCAAACAGCCTATCAACCATCAATAAATACACAAATAATACATTTTCGTTCCTTTAAAACTTTAAATCGGTAACCCTGTTGACTATTATTCTCACTCACTCCCTCCATGCCATTCTTCATTTAACTGAGCATTACTGAATCATTTCAGTTCAAATTGGAAGTAAATATCCTTCATGGGATCAATATTTTGGGGGTATGACCACAATGGGCTCCCCATTTCTAGGCTGCCACATTAGAACCTGGGCATCATTGGCATTAGGCTTAAGCAAGGCATTTGTTGGGATGGGTTGATTTTTAACTAGGACTTGAGGCTGTTCCTGGATCAGTGGCTCCACAACTGTGGCTCTTTGACCCAGAGGCTTCATTGAATCCACTTTAATGCAGAGCTGCATCCTCCAGCGGATGGTTCGGAGTAGCACCATCTCAGCTGTGGTTTCGTTCATGGCCACTAGCCATGTGGTGAAGCGTTGGTCCCTCTGGATGGAGCTCAGGAGAGGGGGACTGCTGGTGGTGCCCACTGGGACACTCCACGTCACACTTGGGCAGAAGTTGTCATTCATGCTGACGGCGAGTTTGGTACTCTTCTTAGTGGGACCCACTATTGTGTACATCTCAGTGGTGCAGCCGTACCAGGGGTAATTCACACCATCTGAATCACTAATGGCCTGGATCTGCCCACATTTCAGCTCTGGGAGCTCCCAGCTGGATCTACAGAGGGAAGATGAAACTTCTTATTCAGATGTTGTTCTTATAATGAAGTGAGTTAATACACTCTTGCATCAGCAATGTACCCTAAATATTAACTCTGCAGTGAATGGGTGCCGTCAGAATGAGAGTCCAAATAGCTGATAAAAACATAACAATAATCCACAAGTAATCCACACGACTCCAGTCCATCAATGAATGTCTTGTAAAGGGAAAAGCTGTGTGTTTGTAATAAACAAATACATCATGAACACCTTTTTAATTCAGACTGTTCAGTTGTGTCCTCTATATCTAATATTGCTTTCTCCAGTGATGCTTTTATCAGCTGTGTTCTGACGGCACCCATTCAGTGAAGAGGATCCATTGGAGAGCAAGTGACGTGATGCTAAATTTCTCCAAATCTGTTCTAATGAAGAAACAAACTCATTTACATCTTGGATGGCCCGAGAGTGAGTAAATTCATTTTTGGTTAAACTAGCCATTAACAGTAAAACAGTATTTGTTTGTTTAAGTTTCAAATCAAGAAAGTTATAAGGACTACATAAGATCTTAATTAACAACCCCGTAATTTCCTATAGAATGAATGTTGTGAATAATTTTGGTAGAAATAAAGCCTCAGCTAGTTTTCTCAGGACTGATGCTGGTAAAGGACAAGCCTTTTGTCCTGTTAGGGATGTGTTCAGCTTTGCTGCTTTTGAGGAAACAATCTCAGGAAATTGCACCATAAACATCACTAACATCCTGAAAAATCATTTTTACATATTTCCTCAGTAGCATCATGCCACCTAAACTACACAGAAAAAAGCAGCTGAGTTCGTTCAGTTCATTTTTACAATATTTCAATGGTATTTTACTGCCCTGTAAACCAAATGATGGTAGTTTCTGATACGGACATGCAGAACTGTGTTATTGTTTTATTTCTGCTTAATATGCATCATAAATGTTTATTATTAATATTATTATTATTACTTTTAGGCTAAATAATTTTGCGGCTTACATAGGTGCAAATTTATTGTAATTTTTGTCTTGATTTTTAAAATGTACTTTTTCACCTGAGAATGAGTGGTTTTAATTTTTAAATAAAAGTTAAGAGTAATTATCCAAACAATACATTAAATAACATATTTTACCATTGAATATTGTTGGGTGCAAATCTTTAGAGACCCATGATGTGTGCCATTTATGGGTTCACTTGAAAATAAAGGTTCCCAAAGGGGAGGTTGTAGAAATGCAGGACCATTTTGGGTTCCACAAAGAAGCTTTCTGTGATTCTTGTGAAGAATATTATAATAATGTAAGGAACACTTTTCCACTATATAGAAACTTTTGTGCAGTGGAAAAGTTCCATGGATGCTAAAGGTTCTTCCTGGAACCATAGATGTGAATAATAAACCTTTATTTTTAAAAGTGTTTTTGGTAATCTGAATATCAGCCGCTAGATTCCCAGGGCCCAAATCAATAAAGTATATAGGAGCTAGGTGTATCTTTTCGTACAATGAACACACTTACACTCCTTCATTCCCATATATATTGAAGAAATCCATTTGATTGCAAGCCTGGATCCAGCCAACGGTCCAGATCTCTTTGCAAAGCATGGGTGGCACCTGCACCTGAGCTGATGCCCTGAAGTAAGGCGTGCGGTATCGCAGAACCACATTAGATGACTCATCGATGACAGTCGGACTGGCATCAATGGAGGCTTGCAGTTCCAGGACCGTGATGTTCTCATGAAAACTTGGCTTGTGTTTTACACTCTGTACACATCCCATGGTGGAGCCTCTTTAGACTGGCAGCACAAACACCCATCAGTATCCAGATGAAGCAGTAACATTCACGATGAGAGAAAAAGGGCCCAAGTCTGTGGTCACAGTGCTATGACATGATTCTTGGCATGTCAGCATAATGAATCATTTCACATGTCTTGTAATCTCTTAATACAGCATTAATAAATCCCAGGTCTTTCCCTTCCTTCAGTCAAGCTGAAACAACAATAGAAACCTTACATATTCAATCTTATAGCTATTATAATACATTTAAAATGAGTAAATAGCTATATCGTGTTGGTTGGTTAAAATATATGTCAGCTCATAAGGTGCCTTTGACTTAAAACCAGAAATATCTAAGAAGCATCTGACAGGTACCGTCCAATCGTGCGGCATTACGACCTGTTACACTGCGCACAGAGTCGCTCCATAATTCAGAAGGTCCTAAACTTGAAGTTTAAATCCACAGTCCCGTTACAGGTCGAACTCCACGCTGTCTTCTGGCATAACTTGAGACCAAAATTTCTGGTGTCAAATCAAATGTCGGTGCTCTTAATTTCCGCGTCATATCTGAGCGTGACCAGTCGGGTTACTTTGTGTCGCCCTTGTCCTATTATAGGCTAGTCAGGTTCCTCGGGCGTAATACAATACCTCAGCTGTTGGCTTTTTTTATCCAAGCGGCTTAGAATTAGACTTCCCTTCTTGGCGACGTTTTGCATCATGGGTAGTGTAGTTTTGATTCAGAGACATTCAAAAGTCATGTCAAGTTTTTCTTTTTTTTTTTTTGGAAAATGAAACAGATGATGAACCATTTTATGAGAAGCATAAAAGACTGCAGTGGATGACTCTTATTTATAAAGCGTATCGAGTACACTGTATAGATATTGTACTTTAATTGTATTAAATTCACTAGCTAGCTTTACAAATACATTTCATTTGTGCAATTTTCCAGACGCTCTTCTCTGAAAGCACTCAAGAAAGCAACAATAAAACAGCAAATAAATGGGGTGAGATATAGCCTACATTGAGTAATAGAGTTTTTGGAATATTTGTTTGAAAGGCTTTTAGTGTTATCAAAAAGGGCCTTTTTTGAAAAATGTTGATAATAGTTTAGGCACAGTTAAGGCACTTGCTCGAGTGGCATAGTAATTTAAAGTTAAATAAACATTATATTATATTTACCATTTATTGTAAGATGTTTTTTCAAGCTTACACTTTTTAAAATAAATAAATAAATAGGCTATTTTATTTATACAAATTTTTTTTAAGCGAATTATCTTATAGCGCAGACTCGTTATTGCAGCTATACAGTGCAATGCAAAAAAAAAACAACAACAACAACAACAACAGATAAATACAATAATTTAGTCTATTTATGTATTTAGCCAAAAAAAATTTTTAAAGCAAGGACAGTGATTATCTTAGCTGGGTGCCATTTGTTTATCTAGATTTTCGGCAGCATCTGGATGCTTCTCATGTATCCAGGCGGCTGGAATGTCTATTTTTAGTATAACTGGAATAGAAGTCGCAACACTTAGAAGAACAGAGCAAGACATGATCTGGGAATGGACATGGTAGACCGTTCACTGTCTCTCTGTGTGAAGAACAGGGCAGTAAAACACATTTAGGCTGGAAGGTCCGAAGAAAATCAAAATGCCTGCGAACCAGACTCGATCCAGGGCGAGGGAGCGAAGCAATGTGCTGAACAGAGCCGAGTTTTTGTCTCTAAATCAGCCTTTGAAGAGCAGTAGCGCTGAAGCTCGCGGCGCTGCACGGAGGCCGTCGCAGAGACTCCAGCAAAGTCAGAACCAGCAGTGCGCAAACGCGCAGCACGAGTCGCCCGAGAACAACAAGGAAAAGAAGGATTTACCAGAAGAAGACTGCATGCAGCTAAACCCCTCATTCAAAGGCATCGCTATGAACTCTCTTCTGGCCATTGATATCTGCATGTCTAAACGGCTCGGCGTGTGCGCGCACAGCACATCGTCGTGGGGAAGCGTGCGCTCTATGGTCAAGCTCCTCGCGCTCACTGGCCATGGCATCCCGTGGATCTTCGGCACAATTGTGTGTCTCACGAGAAGCAACACATTGGCCGGTCAAGAGGTTTTGGTCAATTTGCTGCTAGGTGAGTTTTAACGCATTTCTGATAAGGAGTCAAATAGCCTACTGGCGCTCTGGAGAACGTCCGAGTGTTATTCTGAAAATGTGTGTGGCTATAAAAACATCACTATTTTGGTCACACATATAGGCTACTATGATTGAGAAATGTCTCCTTGTAAACCATACCACCATAGTGCCAGAGAGAGTATATTGTCGTTTTATATACTGACTTTAGGATCATTTTCAGGACAATGTAAATAAATAAATTCGGGATCTTTTCAGTGTTGGGTATCCTACATGCAATGTTGACTTTCTGTGCATTTGATCAGCTCTATCTGAAAGCTGGACAAGAATTTAAATGCAATGTAGATTTTTTTTTTGTCCCAGTGTTTACATATGAATTATTTGATTAAAACGACATTCAAATCAATCATGTACACAATTGAGAATGAAAACAGAATGACTGAGTAAAATTGTAATGGGGATCAGGTCAAGCACATATGATTTTGATGAATTTGAAATCACAGGGTTTTTTGTGGGGGGGTTTTGCAGCTTATGAGGATGCTGTTGGGTTTGTAGGTCAGTGGATGAGGGAATACAAGGATATGTGTTCTGACTGACAGCCGCATGTGACTAGTTCATTACACTCAAACATAATGAAACGCTACTCTAGAATTTATTATTTTCACTACTCCTTTAATTACACTAAATTGAAACTGAAACCCAAAAATGTATAATCTCTCATCATTTACTCTGACTTTATTTGCTCTCAGAACACATTTGAAGTAAAGTATTTCAGCATGGTAGGTCCAAACAATGCAAGTGAATGGTGACCAAAACTTTGAAGCTCCAAAAAGCTCATAATTGTAATGTAAAAGTAATCCAGTGGTTTAATCAATTTCTCAGTCAGTTTTGTGTTGTACGTCTTTATTTTATAGCAGTCTCTTCGGTGATCACGATTTCAAGCTTGATTACACTTACTAGTGCAGTCTTGCGCTGTGTCAAATATAAACCTTGAAATATCAGTCTTGCCAAAGATGTTCCTATTATTATGGGATGATACCAACCTCTTGAGCTCTACCATGGAGAAAGCTTAAAGGTAAGCTTGGATTATGTGTGCTACTTGTCACAAAACTAGCTGTGACTTTTCTTATAATCTTCTAGGTTTTAAAATTTTTAATTTTTTTGTAAAGCCTAAAAATTGATTAATCAATGTTTAAACAAATGTTTAATGGCAAATATTCATTAAGAGATAAGCTCTTTCCTCTCAAAAACAATTTATTCACCATACTAGTCTGTCCTCCATTGACATCCGCAAAAAAGGTACTTTTGTCTCCTCCACAGTGCTCCACAGCGTTAAGGTGTTTTCACATTTGTCTGCAAATTTTCACGAGCAACGTCATTTCAATGGAAATCCATGTGATCAGGAATTTCAAGTGAGGGCGAAAGATTTCCTCATGCAGATTTTGCCATGGTTTTACGTTTTCATGAATTTGCCACGGTGACGTTTTCGTCCGAAAGCATCTTGGTTTGAAAGTGACTTTCTGTGAGCTATTCATTGCATAGATTTTTAACCCGCAAGGTTTTACAAAAAGTTTCACCACACCTTTACATTTTTTTTTTGCCCAAACTCGGAGGCTTGCCTTAAAGTGGCTCTGATTTTTTTCTTGTCACAAACAGCTCAAGTCGTTTAGTTAGTTCTAATGTGATGTTTTCAAATTAGTAATAGAGATACATTGGACACAGCCTTTGAACTAGCAACAACAAATTTGAATCTGTGACATAAGAAAGTAGAGGGACTTTGGAACATTCCTTGATTTTTCTACTTATTTGTTATGTAAAATCAATATAACACTCGCAAGAGTGTGTTATAGCTGTATATCATGACAGGTGTGATGACTTGTGGCCAAATGTCAGCCATAAACATTCTTGTGAGTTTGCTATTGCTTTAAAACCGTAAATGTAAATGTCATTGCTTTACAGCTCTCTTACTGGATGTGATGACTGTAGCAGGCATGCAGAAGTTGGTGAAGCGCAAAGGGCCATGGGAAATGGCACCCAGTTTCCTCGACTACCTGGCCATGGACATCTATTCTTTCCCGGCAGCCCATGCAAGCCGAGCAGTCATGGTATCTAAATTCCTGTTGGCACACTTGGTGCTTGCAGTTCCCCTGCGTATTTTGCTTGTGTTATGGGCAGTCCTAGTTGGCATGTCCCGTGTGTTGCTGGGTCGCCACCATCTGACAGATGTCGGATGCGGCTTTGCCTTAGGATTCCTTCATTACAGTTTAGTGGAGATGGTGTGGCTGTCTTCCAACACTTGCCAGACTCTAATATCCATAGGAACATTCAACTGGAGCCCCCTCTACTGATCAGTACCTGTCTTTTGAGGGATTTCAGAAGTCACCATATGTTGTTTTTTTTTCAGTTCAGGTTAAGTGCCCTACATCTGTTCTAAAAAGCGTGCGATAGAAACATGTACTTTTCTAAAAACATTAACCTAAGCAGCACACATCCATAAGCTTGATCTGACCATTTCTTCTTCCATTTCTGCCAAAGCAATATAAAGTTTGGAGAAATGCTTTGGAAAAGCATCAGGTGCACAGTTTTTCCTTTCGCTTTAAAAGAAAGGATGTTGATTTTTTATTGCTAACATTGATGAAGGCCAAATCAGTATGTGTGATTTATCTCAATCAGCTGATGGATCTTACTGATCACAGTAAGTGAGCGAAACATTTGCTCAGGGACTATATCAAGCAGCATAATGAGCCATTTCAGATTTCTATTTTCTTGGAATTGTATATAATTTTCAGACTATTTACAATGCATTTGAGAAAAAGTTGTAAATGAAACCACCGCAGATAATTTGGAATTTTATGGACAGTTTTGGGTGTCTGGAGTTTAAATACAATTGTACTGACATTTCATGATACTCTGAATGCATCACATTTATATTAATATAACTACTTAAGCATTCAAACTGAAAATTTCAAGCACATTTTTCACTATTACCAAAAATTGCAATGTTGTTTATATGAAATTTTATGTTGTTTAATTCCAATTACTGCAAGCCTCAGATGTGTCATTTTGTATGATTTCCACAGCAATGTTATGCATGGTATGGGCCTTCTGGAAATAAATTAATCCCTTCAATGCATTTTATACATGATTATTGTAAACCAAACATCTTATAATGTTGTATAGATTGGGGAAAAACGATACACAAATCAAACAAGTTCTACATCTTTTATGAACAGAATTTATTAATTTTGTGTCAACTTAAAACATGTGAATATGTATGTATGCAAGTGTGTATGTGTGTGTTTTGGATTCTTCATGCCTAAAAATGCAGAGATAAACACTTACAACGGATGTGATATGAATAAAATATACATTTTATGGAACATGATGACAACTTTGTACATTATAACATTAAACAATCTCAAGAAAATCTCAAGATTATCTCAAAAGCTTTTATGATCTGCAGATGGAAAATGAGAGACAGAGAGATGAAGAAAATCATTACTAATTTGAAAGTTGATGTGATCAAATTACTGCATGTTTATATAAATGTGCAACAGAAGAGATCAAGCTTTTATAGAGATGGTTGCTTAATATCTCAGCAGCTGTCGATGACAGTCTCCCCACCCTCTTTTGCTTATAGCAGTGATCTGCCCGTTCCTGACCCTGACTCAGCACTCTATAAATACCAGCAGGAGTCAGTCTCCAAGTCCATGTTCATGCTACCTACTATTAGAAACCCAGCAATGCTCTTGTGGCCTACATACACACACATGTAAAGACTGCCCACTACTGACAAGCGTTGATTTTTGTTTAATAAGCTTCATACATTTTATAGAGTTTCTTTGAGCAAAATTCCATTGCAGATTGAGCAAAATTCTTAAAGGTATTAAAGTCAATTTCGGTCAAACAAAAATACTATTGTTCGTTAAGAACAGTTACACAACCTTAACACATGATGAAAAACTGATGAATGAATGAATGAACGAATAAACAATAATAAATACTTATAAATAAATAAGAGTTTAAGGACATAGCCTACATATTGATCTGTAGTTTTAAAATGATCTGTTTTCATGTTCTTTGTCTAGATTCATAGTCAATAAATATATCTTTGGAATGTAATAAAAGGATTCAGTTAAACTCTAAATGTGTAGGTTCAGGCAAATTTACATTAACATAAGTAATAAATACAACTCCAGCAGACATGCCTTTATCTATTTTATTATTAGACTTTATTTTCACCTATTATTTACAGAGAGGACACGGGCCAAAATCAAACCCTCCGACTGAAGATTAGCCTACATTTAGTGTAAACTCTGCATCAAGTGTAAACTCTGCATATGAATTGACAAGTATTCATATAATTATTATGAAATGTATTGGACCTTTATCTAAATGTAATGTTTGCCTGAACCAACTAATTTACAAATGTAAATGAATCCCTAAATTCCAAAGATATATTTATTGACAATATGATGAACAAAGAACATAGTTTACCTGAAAAGAACGAGTAACTTTTAAGAGCATAAAAACACTTTATTGAAAAAAAAAAACTTTTTGGTTTCACTTGATTTTGATGGTGCCTTTAACACATTCTGTTGACTATAAGTAACGTTGCACCTACATATCTACAAAGTCTCACTATAGTGGTAGTAGTGTTTGTAGACTGTTAAGGTTAGGGTTAGAGTAAGTTGACATGTTCTTGCAAAGTTACTTATAGTCAGTAGAATGTCTGTTGGGAAACCATCACAATAAAGACAGACAACTAATACTCTAATGAGAGGTAGTTGACATGTAGCTGCAGAGACAGACAGACAGACAGACAGACAGACAGACAGACAGATAGATAGATAGATAGATAGATAGATAGATAGATAGATAGACAGACAGACAGATAGATAGAGAGAGAGACAGACAGAGAGACAGACAGACAGACAGACAGATATAGATAGATAGATAGATAGATAGATAGATAGATAGATAGACAGACAGACAGATATATAGACAGACAGACAGACATAGATAGATAGACAGACAGAGATAGATAGATAGACAGACAGACAGACAGACAGATATATAGACAGACAGAC